TAGGGAAAGGAATTATTAACTGTCTTTTCTTCAAATTCTCCAGGAACCTTCATGGTGCTGTACAAATAACAACCTAATTATTAACTGATTGTAGCACAAACATTATTAACGTCCAATTTCAAAACAACATTTCAACAAGGCCACATTTCACAATCCCCAGCAGCTCATAAATAGAGACGCTCCGTCTCCTGTCTAACTTGAAGTCTTTTCTCTCCAACGACGTTGAGTTCCCAGCAACCTTCAGCCATGAAGATTCTCCACCTTCTCTTTGCTGTCTTCTTCCTGCTGCTGCAAAGCTCTCCAGGTAAGAGCATAATGGCATGAAGGGACAACATAGGGGAATGTCTGTGAGTCTGTTGTAAGATTTTCTAGAATTTTGCATCATATAGTTTCAACTTTTTTTTTAAAGTGTCCTATAGTTTTCAGCAGGGATTTGACATTTGACTGGAGTATAGTCCAGGGGTGAGAAATGTGGCATTAAAGTTCCTATTAAAGTCTATTCAGATTTGGTTGAACTATCAACTAAAATAATATCCCTACCATTTTACCTCCTGGAGTCCCGCAGGATTGGTTCCTGGTGCTACGCTAGTGAAATGCCAAGCAATGCACATTGGAAAACATAACCCCAACAATACACATGTGGTGATGGGATCTAAAATACTTGTTACCACTGAAGAAACAGATCTTGGAATCATAATTTTCTGAAAACACCCACTCAAAGCGCAGTATCAATCCAAAGAAGTGAAGAGATTATTTGGAATCATAAAAAAAGGAACAGATCATATGAAAAAATATCATGGTGCTTCCATAGACTCTCACATCTTGAATACTGCATATAGATATGGTCATCCCAAAAAGTATATTGGAATTGGGAAAGGGACAGAAAAGATTAGTGGTATGGAAGGGCTTCTGTATGCGGGGAGATCAATAAGACTGTTTTAAAACAGTCTAATATGAATCATCTGAAGGGCCACATTTTGGCAACATTCAGCCTGTCTGGAATTTCTAAGCCTGGCAATTGGCTATTGAAATAGTAATCCCAAGAGCTGTCTTCACAAGCCTGTCTCTGCGGAGTCTCAAAGACAATGAGGCGTTCTCACTGGAAGGGGTTTGTTCAAACACTTCTTTGTCTAGATGTTCCAGCCACCCAATCCAGCACTGAGCCAGTTCATCACAGCTTCGGCGAAAAAGTACAGACATTTCCATACTATCAAAGATCTAGAGAAAGGGGGGATGGGAAGAGAATTGGACTGGCATGGCCTGCCTCAGTAAACTGGAGACTCAATTATTGAAAGCCATCCCTCATGTTGCAATCAGAGCTTTTGATTAGTTTTTTGTATGAATAAAAATCAAGACATTTTTCTCTGTGCAGGATACACCCAGTTTGTCAGTGACCCCTACGCATGCAGACGTGCAAGGGGCTTTTGCCGCTCTCGATGCTATCCCCAATTTTTGACTATTGGAACTTGCGGTTTTGCACAGAGCTGCTGTAAAAGGAGAAGGGTAAGTTCAGGATTTAACGTGTGAGACATGACAGTGTAAACGGAATATTGGTGTTCCTCTTTTCTGTCGCTGCTCTTTCATGACCTTGGAGGCTTGGAACACAGTACACAACTCTGGGACATGGGAGAAGAAGATATTTTGTGCTGCCCTAATTCTGGACTATATAGAGTTTATGTGTTACAGTAACCACATAGGTGCTTTACCTATGGCTTGCCCACAGCTTGAAGCAGCACCAAATCTCCAAGGTTAAACCATGTGTGCCTGAACATGTGACAGTATTGTGACTGGGGGTAATGCCGGTTAACGAAGTTTTCTGATTAACACAGTTCTGGATAGCAAAGGTTTCACAGTATCTTCCTTCAGGTTTTTTTTAATTTATTGCCTATATACTTTACTGATGTGGTTCTCACTGTAAGTGCAGAGAATGTTTCAGGAAGGGCCTTTGTAAGAAAATGTGACTCTGCCTCTTTTATTGGATAGTTGGGGTACAGGGATGGAAGACCCATGTTCAGAAGCCAGACCCATTTCCTTCCAGAGTCAGGTGGGCAGCCAGTTCATGTGTTTTGATATAATTGACTGTGTTGATTAAAACTCTGTAGCAGCATATTGCAGTCTGGAAAATGAATCCCCTGCTCCGCCATTAACCAGAGATATTTGCACTCAACGTTCAGTGTTGGGGAAATGTCTGCTGTACCTTCGGCTTAAAATGCAATGGTCTGTTGTTCTTCTTTTGATGCATATAAACCTTGAGTGTGACCGTTTCTTCTTTTTGTATTTTGTAGATCAGGGAGTGAGCGAGGGCAGTGGAGATAATTAATGCAGGATCTCTGGGAATCTGGCAGAGGACGCCTGGCTTCTAACGTCATTGGACACTTTTCTTCTGGGCTGTAAAGAATTTCGCACACCTAAAAATTCACAAGAGAGACCTTGTGTCACCTCTAATAGCTTCTTCTTCTCCTTTTAATAAAAGTAGCAGGTTGTAGCCCAAATGTGTGTGTGTGAGTGCTTTGACAATTGCATGTGAATAAACTAAAAGGCCACCTTCATTTGTTAAATCCACCGGGGAGTGTTCTGAGACCAGGGGATGTACGTTTTAATGGGTTTCCCTATGATCACGTGGATCCATTTTTGCATGTTCCTTTGTCTCTTTACACAGCCCAGTAGTTTGTGTTGTAGTCAAAAGAGTTGCGTTCAGTCACATGTCTGCACATGATTGACAGCCCTTGGCATTGCTCCAAGGCATGCTTTTCCCCTCTGCTCCCTTCACCTCCCAAACCTCCCCATCATGAAGGCCTCAGTTTTATACCTGAACTTCCAAACATGGCCGTGTGCAGCACTCGTCAATGCAGAAGAGGGCTCAGTGCAAGGGGCTCCCATTTGGTGGGACTTTTCTGCCCTTCCACTTAGCTCCCTCAGCTGGAAAAGTCCTTCTTTCTCTTTCCCACCATCCCCAAACAGCACGGGCCTTTTTCCTCTCCTTGGCCTCCTCCAGCTGTCATAGGTCTTCGCCGAGCCTCCTAGCTGACAGGGTCCTTCCCTCTCCCCACGGCCTGTCCATGCCAGCAGCCCCTTCTCTCTCTTCCCAGCCCCACTGTCTGGGTGGGCCCTGTGACGGACCAGACCGTGTCTGGGCACAGCTGAGGGCGTCCGCTCATGGCAAACTGCTCGAATCCGGGGCTACTTACAGCCCCCGACTGGTGACCTCTCCACACAGGCCACAAACCAGTCCCACAGAGCGCTTCAGCAACCTGCCTGAAGCCTCCCGAGCAAAACCCCTCCGACCCCCCAGCAATATCCGTGCCCCAGATGGCCCCGGGCCTCATACACAGGTGGGGGGTCCTAGCACCCAATCCCACCTACCCCGAACAAGTTCTGTCCGGTTCCAAGAACCCAGCCACAGATCCCTGGTCAATTTACCCTCTGGACCTTACCCACAAATCGCGCTGGGCCAATCCTTTAGAATCTATATCTAAAGGTTTATTATCACAAGAAAGAAAAGCATGAGAGTAAGGTTATTAAAGTACAGTACGTTACATGCACCGAATCTCCCAGTTCTCGATGCAGGCTCTAGCAGAGATGTACAGCTGCTGGTTTAAAAGTTCTTATTGCACATCCTACGATCAGGATGGGTTCACAGGTCTTCCGGGCTCTTCAATCCCTGCAGTGCTGCCTCTGGGATGAAGTGCTGAGCTGAGAACAAAATGGCATCGACCACATGGCCTCTTTATACCCCCTTCCTGGCCTCTTCTGGTATGCAGCAGGTCACCTGGTCCTCAGCCTCTCTCTGCTGGCCGCTCTTAGGTGTCCGCCCTCATGCTTTAGGTGTGTCTTTGGGCCATCAAGCGCCATTGTTCCACAGGGCTTCACTACTCAGCCTGTCCATAGCAATGCTTAACCACATTCAGAGAAATATTCAGCTTCCACACAGATTACAGATCAATTTCTGGGACCAACACCCCCACCTAGGGATGCAGCAGCGATCTGGCTGCTTCCCTCCATTTCGGTAATGTGACAGGCCCCAATTCCTATACAGCACACCGTGTGCCCAGCCCACACGCCTATATTCCTGGCTCACGGTCCGTCCTTTTTTAAAGAGTCGACACATCTCCCTATGAAATAAGGGATAAGGGATCTTTCGGAAAAGGCTTTATTTTAGTCTAGACTGGCGCTTTTTTCCGGTAAAGCTCCATGCGGAAAAAAAGCGGCAGCCATTTTTATGCTAATGAAGCGTGGGAGATTTAAATCCCCGCTTCATTAGCAATTGCGATACGTCTAATTTACATCCCTTTTCCAAAAAAGGGATGTAGTCTAGATGTAGCCCATATGTATTAACTAAAAGAGTTCTCCCATCTGTAGAGGCACTTCACCTCCCCAAGAGAGGAGTCATTCAGGGGTGTATTTTTTATATTCCTTACCGATGTAGTTACACCTACCAAATTTCTTAGTGTAGACCATGGCTATAAAAATATACAAGCAGTTTTGGGATAGGGAATGTGACGAGAGAAATTCCATGATAGCAACTGATGTGCTACTTTCCCAGATGCTTCACTGAGGATGTACAGAGGTTATCCTCAGCTAGAGAACTGTGACCAAACAGGGTGACACAACCTGGAAGAGAGAATGGTCTGTAACAATCTTCAAGGATAATGTATTTGTTATGTCATTAAATACCTATTGGTTCTTGTTTCAGGCAGTGGACAAAAGTGGTTTGAAAGAAAAACTGTCAATGGATATGAGCCATGTTGTTCTACAGCTTTCATATATTTTCTTTTTCTGCCTATCAGAGGGCTATTCAACATGTATGAAAGTTTGCAATTTAAATTGAGTCCAAACATGGAATTTCAACTTGAAACTTATAAGTTTGATGACTATTGCAGTGATATTGTACTTTCTATTTCCAACAGTTTTAATATTTATCTTCCTGCTTTTTTTTATTTATCGCCTTCTTTCTCTATTAGTTGTGGTTGTCACTGTAAGTGCGGAGAATGTTACAGGAAGGGCCTTTGTAAGAAAATGAGACTCTGGCTCTTTTACTTGATAGTTGTGGTACAGGGATGGGAAACCCATATTCAGAAGTCAAACACATTTATTTCGAGAGTCAGGTGAGCAGCCAATGTATGTGTTTTGGTGTCACTGACTACGTTAATTAAATCTCAGTGGCAGCATGTTCCAGCCTAGAAAATTAAGCTCCTGTTCTGGTGTTAGTCAAGGGTATCTGCACTCATTTCTCAGTGATGGGGAAGTTTCTGCTGCACCTTCCATTTGAGATGCAATGTTCTATTTTTCTTGTTTTGATGGATATAAACCTAGAGTGTGAACGTTTCTTCTTTTTGTATGTTGTAGATCAGAGAGTGAGCGATAGCAGCAGAGATTGTTAATGCAGGATCTCTGGGAATGTGGCAGAGGACGCCTGTCTTCTAAAGTCATTGGACACTTTTCTTCTGGGCTGCAAAGAATCTCACAAACCTAAAATCTACAAGGGAGCCCTCGTGTCACCTCTACTAGCTTCTTCCTCTCCTTATAATAAACGTTACTGCTTGTAGTGCAGCATCATAACCATGTGTCTGTAAGTGTTTTGATTGACATTTTGGGGTTGTGTAGTAAGTTCTTTTCTATAAATATACTTTTTAAAAGATAATTGCATATGAATAAAGTAAAAGGCCACCTTCATTTGTTAAATCCACCTGGGGGTGTTCTGAGACCAGGGAATGTACATTTTGATGTATTTCCCAATGATCGTGTAGATCGATTTTTGCCTTTTCTTTTGTCTCTTTACACAGCCCTTTAGTTTGTGTTGTGGTCAAAAGCATTGGGTTCAGTCACAACATAGCTGCACATGATTGACAGCCCTTGGCAGTGTTCAAGGGCTTATTTTTCCCCTCTGCTCCCTTCACCTCCCCACCATGAAGGCCCCAATGTTTTACCTGATCTTCCAAACATCTTATATTAATTACTTCTATGTTATTTGCTTTATACCTAGAAGTCTATACACATTCAGTGCCCCTTGGCCTTTCTCCGTGGAAAAAGTGCCAAGCACAGAGATTAGTAACCTCCCTGTATTGACAGACAGCTGATATAGAAGACTCACTATGCTGTCACAGGTACTCTCCACCCTATTGGTGTCCTCCTCTCTGTGGATTCTCCTTCTTTCTCCTCTTCGAGCAACATGCTGTATTTGGTGCTAACAAATGGGCACAAATGGGAGGAAAGAGGAAGAAGATGAAGGGGAGAGATATTATAAAGAGTCACTGAAGCTTTACAGTCATTTTAATGGATATTGCAAGGAAATTTCAGGTGTCCAACCTTCCGTAGTACCCTTAGACATGTTTAGAAATTTATGAAGCTGCAATTTAAGCCTAGTTACTTCATGTTCTCTGCTTCCAGTGAGAATTAAAGAAATCCCAGAATTTTCTGGGCACCTGCAAGTTCCACTGACGTTCACGCCTTTTATGCATCAATATTATATGTCTTTATTTATACAGTTGTCATTAAGACTGGTGCTTGTTATGCAGGGGGAAGAAAAAAATCCAGGTTTCGGTCAAATCACTAACTGTACAATGTCTCAGTTCAGATATACAAGAAGAAAATCACAGGCCCATGCATTTCTGAAACATAGTCGGAAAAAACTTATTTATTTTATCTCTCTTTTTGAAAGTTTAGCCTCCTTTTATGGACTTGGATGTGTGAAATTGAAAGTTTCCCTAAAAATATTGATTAATATTGTTCAAAGCAAATAAACAGATGCATGTAACTATCACCAATGCTTTGTGTGTGCAGCTGGAATTCTTCTCTGCAGTTGGACCCTCATGTGAATGTAATGGGAAACATTCCATTGTGTTCAAAGGACTTTTAAACATACAGTACATGTTTGCTGGGTGTAAATATGTATATTGCAACTACATAGGGAAAGTAATTATTAACTATCTTTTTTTGAAAATCTTCAGAATTTTCATGGTGTTGTATAAAAAACATCCGTTATCATGAACTGATTGTGGCACACGTTCAAGCTTTCAAAACAAAATTTCAACAAGTCCACATTTCACAATCCCCAGCAGACCATAAACAGAGATGTACCATCTCGTTTCTATCTTGGGGTCTTTTCTCTCCAGCGACTTTCAGTCCCCACCCAAACTTCAGCCATGAAGATTCTCTACCTTCTCTTTGCTGTCTTCTTCCTGGTGCTGCAAAACTCTCCAGGTAAGACTGTAACGAAATGAAGGGACAATATAGAGAGACATTTCTGAACCTTTTCTAAGATTTCCTACAACTTTGTATTATATTTTTCAACTTTTTTTTTCTAAACTGTAGTATGCTTTTCAGTGCGGACTTGACATTTGACTAGAGAATAGCCCGGGGGTCAGAAAGGTGTCATTAATGTGCCTATAAATATCTATTCAGATTTGACCCGCAATTATATTGCTACCATTTTACTGCCTGGAGTTCCACAGGGACTGATTCTTGATCCTGTG